GAATGCGCCCTTTCGTTATTACATTCCCTTATTAATTATTAATATCCCTTTCAATTTTGATCACAATATTGTTTCGCATTCATTGTAATTTTGAGGGATTAAAACAATGATCAGTTTTCATTGGAAGAATTTTCAAGTTCACTGAACTTACATGTACTGTCTAGTCCTCGTTTTCCATTTTTTCATTGATTTGAAGCGACTTTAATTCTCGTCTTTGAATGTGATCGACATTCGCCTTGAGTCTGTAAAACAAAGGCATAAGCAACATAAGAGAATAATGAACAAGGGATTCCTATTAGGAAAACAAGAAACATCAATACATTTGCTTTGAAGCATAGCAAATATTCTAGAATAGAAGCTTGTTAATTATTACATTGGAGGAAACAATGTGAAATCCACAGCAATGCATGGTGGGTATTTTGAAATTGCATGACCTTTTAATTTGTAAGATTAATAGATAACATGTAACATGAACATGTGTGACCATACCCCAACACCGAATAAAAATGTTAATACATAACCATTAAATTTAACAAATCAATATAATAATGCAAATACAGCCCTATTTCTTGTTATTTGCTAGTGACTGCCTAAAAACCTGTCTTGACAAACAGACAGACCTATATAGGAATTCAGATTTCGTCCAGGGCCCATACTTCTTTCCTTAGGAATAAGTGCACGTAGATATGCTATGATTTCTTCTACCTAAAAACATATATTTGCAAATAAGCCAATAAAAATATACTCTTTTATGAACTAATAAGCAGTGAAATATTAAACATCAACCACATTTTCTCCAATGGATCGGTTAGCATAAATGTATACTTGCTATAAAAAATGTTCAATGTTCTATAAATTAGTCTGCATACACCAAGGAATAAAACAAGAGACCCATGGGCCACAACGCTCACCTGAGTCACTGTGGCCCCGCTGTTCATTCCTATGTAAAACTTTGTTAACATTTTGTGACCCTACTCTACCACTGGGGGTCATGATTTGAATAAATTTTAATCTACACTACCTGAGAATGATTCCATACAAATATGACTTATCATGGTCTTGCTGTTCTTGAAAAGATTTTTAAAGATTTTTCTTATATACAGGTGACTCTCGATCTCTCGAAGTTCAAGGGACCGCAAGAAAAGTTCGAGAGATCGAGGGGTTCGAGAGATAGAAAGTGAATAAAATCCGGAATTTTCAGTTCCGATCATCATTGTTCTACTATTATAAATACCGGAAATATATGTTGATAATAGCATTGCACGTTTTCATTCGTAGTTTACAGATAATTCACTTGATTTCAACAACAATGATCGTATTTTGAATAAATAAAACGATCTCTTTAAATTTCAATATTTATTTGTTCCCATTTCATGATTACATAAAATCTGAATATCAATCGTCGGTGTGGCTAACCCACGGGCCTGATCGGGTACTTTAACAGATTTCTCGTATTAAATCGGTATTTAATTCTTGAGATAGGATTTCTTGTGCAATGTTTGTCATACTGAGATTATGTACTTTCTAATAAAAACTTCATAATCTATGGAAAATTATTGACACGCCTCTTAAATTATTTTCTAAAAATTTTCGTCGCGCTGTCAAGTCAAAAATAAGTTGTGAAGCAATTCGTTTATAATTTACCAATTATAACCAATTATTTATATCAACACTCAGATGCTCACAGGTATAGTGTCATCTATGTAAACACCCAATTAACACCTCCATGCCAGCCCCAGGCGTTCACTGTTATCCAGGTAAGTCCAAGCTGCATTAATTTCATGCTTGATTGGCGTGTACAAAGCGCAATAAAAACTTCGAGAGATAGAGAGTAAAAAACAATGAAATGTGTGTAACGGGACCCAGGTCTTGGTTCGAGAGATAGAGAACTTCGAGAGATTGGAAGTTCGAGAGATCGGAAGTAAATTTGCTTAGTTATATAGAGGAAAAAAACGGGACCGGAGGTTCACTTCGAGAGATCGAGAACTTCGAGAGATCGGAGTTCGAGCCATCGAGAGTCACCTGTATTTCAATGTAAAACAACTTTGATCCCTTACTGTGACCCATCTTACCCCTTGTGGTCATGAATTGAATAATTTATAATCTACACTTCCTCAGGAAGCATTAAAATTATATCTTCAAAGGGTTAATATTGATTTTTCACCAAAACACTTTGTATGTAGCAAGAATTAAATATACTTTAAAAGTACACTTTCTAAAATAACAAGAGATTAAAGAGAGATGAAAATCAATAGCCTGTTATGGAACCAGTATGATTTAATCAAACCTATTTCATCATTTTCTTTTAAAAATTCTCTGTATCTTCTTCATTAATAAACATCAACACCACATCTTCTCTTTTATGTTTCCCGTATAGAGACAACCGGTGAAGGGTATTCAGTCACTCTTTCCACTCTAACAAGAGATTAAAGAGAGATGAAAATCAATAGCCTGTTATGGAACCAGTATGATTTAATCAAACCTATTTCATCATTTTCTTTTAAAAATTCTCTGTATCTTCTTCATTAACAAACATCAACACCACATCTTCTCTTTTATGTTTCCCGTATAGAGACAATCGGTGAAGGGTATTCAGTCACTCTTTCCCTTTACATTAACCACATTTGTTTTTCAATTACCAAAGACTTATACGTGATAAAAACATGTCCAATTTGGGCGCAGTTGCAGAACTATCTCCATCTTTCTTTCTTTTTCTTGAATTTTTGTTGGTTGTTGTCGAAGTTTAAAATTGTTACCCCCGTATTTTCAGCAAGTTTTCCGTCTTTTCTTACAAAATTGGGGTCCCTCTCCTTTAGGTTAACTACTGAGTATCTACCCTTTTTTCCCTTCTAACCCATATAAAAAAGTATCTCTTAGAAAAAATAAGTATTTTGGCTGACTTATTTCATACCAATTGTTAAGCCTTCGTGTTTATATCGAATTTGACTATGGAATGTTCCGTCTACCTGATCAATACATAGGAGTCACAGCAGGTGTGACCTGTCAACAGGGGATGCTTACTCCTCCTAGGCACCTGATCCCACCTCTGGAATGTCCAGGGGTCTGTGTTTTATGCCTTATCACAGATATGTTTTGTTTAAAATATTTTTTTGAGATAGATCACTGTTTGTTATCTTCACCTTCTTCATTCTAAAGCTTTAAGTCCTTTTCCATTTAAATTACATTGAATCTTCTTCAATATAGTAAACCAATATCTTCAAAGCCATTCCACATCGTATACTTTATATTACCTCATAAGTTTTTTTCTTCATTTTTTCATTAAAATTTAATTTATTCCGATTTAAAAAAAAATGTTTTCTTTCTTTGAGTCTGGTTTCCGTCAGAGAAACAATTTATTTTTAGATTCTGTAGGCTGCCACTTCAAGTTTGAAGTCCATTTTACTAGCCGTGGCTTTTCTTATAGAGTTCTCCAGTCTCTTACCAGTCCTACATCAGACTTCTTCAGCTTCAAACCAGTCTAACATTGCTGCATTTTTCAATCTCTCATTTGATTGAAGTAAAATTAATGTAATTAAAAACCAGAAGTCTCTGATGAGACTGTAGCTCTACTGGTTGTACTTACAAAGGAAGATAAAAGTAGCACTTGGACTTGAACTGTGCAACAGCAATAAATAGAATAATGATCCTTGGTTTAGTCTCTTTTTGTGGCAAGATTTATTGCAATCAGAAAAAACTGTAGGAGGAGTAGCCTTTTGAAATAATTTTACAGAAATTTTGATTTAAGTAACCATGGCAACATCATTCAACAAAATCAAAAAGCAATAATGACAATTATGTATCTCAGTGTAGTCTACTTGTACGCCAAGTTATACTGAAATCAGACAAAACATGTAGGAGGAGTAGCGTTTTGAAAGTATTTCAAAAAATTTCTATTTTTGGTAACCATGGCAACACCGTTCATCAAAATCAAAAACTGGTACAGAGAATTATGTATCTCAGTGTAGTCTACTTGTGTGTAAAGTTATACTAAAATCAGACCAAAACTGTAGGAGGAGTAGCATTTTGAAAGTATTTCAAGGAAATTTCTATTTTTGGTAACCATGGCAATACCGTTCATCGAAATCATAAATGAATGCATAGAATTGTGTATCTTTGTGTAGTCTACTTGTGTGCCAAGCTATACTGAAATGAGATCAAAACTGTTGGAGGAGTAGCATTTTGAAAGTATTTCAAGGAAATTTCTATTTTTAGTAACCATGGCAACACCATTCATCAAAATCAAAAACAGATACAAAGAATTATGTATCTTTGTGTAGTCTACTTGTGTGCCAAGTAATATTGAAAAGAGATCAAAACTGTAGGAGGAGTAGCGTTTTGAATGTTTTTCACAGAAATTTCTATTTTTAGTAACCATTGCAACACCGTTCATTGAAATTAAAAACCAACATACAGAATAATGTATCTTAGTATAGTCTACTTGTGTGCCAAGTTATAATGAAATCAGATCAAAACTGTAGGAGGAGTAGCATTTTGAAAAAATGTTTACAGACGGATGGACATACAGACAGCCAGACGGACGGACGACTGACACCTTACTATCGCATAAGCTCTTCTGGTCTCTGACCAGTAGAGCTAAAAACTTAATAATCATCTTTTATTACATTTTGCATAATTACAGAACAAGCTCATAGCGAACATGCTTATACTGAATTGATGCTTACAGCAATGTGGTCTTCATTCCCCTTGACTTTAAAATATCTGTTCATTTCTCTCGCATCTCAAAAGTCCTCAATCTTTTCATTTCTCTAGCATATCACCAGTCCTACATCTCATCATTCCTGTACCTTTTCATTCATCCAGCATCTCACTAGTCTTCCATCTTCATTTCTCCAGTTATTTTTGGGTCACAAAGAGCTTTGCGTATGAGTTCATTGATACAACTTATTGAACATGTATAAATGTATACATAAACTGATTGGAACCAAGTGATATATCTTTTTTAAGTTCCCAGTCCAGACTCCATCAATTTAAGAGGTGAGTCATGCAATACACTAATTTATTCTTCTAAATTAGTCCTGAAAGAAGCAGTCATCTATTTCAACTATTAACTTCATACAACAGACGACAGTAACATATTCAGAAGTTTCCCTGGAGCTCAGTTCAAGAGAGATTTGCAAGACATATTTTGAGCACTTCTTTTCAGAAAAAGACACTTGAAACACTAGAGTAACAAAAATATAACAACTTTTATTAATGTGCTTGAACAGGTAACTTTTTCTTCTCTTTCTGGGCAGTCTTTTTTCTCTTCTTTCCAAGATATTTCTCTACTTTTCCCGATTTCTGCAGTTCCTTGTACTTTTCAGCCAACTCCAATTTTCTTTTCTCAGCTACAGAAACAATAGAATAATGATTACATATGTAAAAATAACAGTAATAAATCATACATGATTATATACTTTCTGTGCATACTCTGGTTTTATAAATTCTGATCTCTTAAAAAAAAACGTCTAAGATTGTATAATTTTTTGAAAATTGTAGCTTAATTTGCATTAAAATATTACCGGTAATGCAAAACACTCAAAATGCTAGTTTTTAGAATAATCATTAACATGGAATTGCAGAAAATAAAATAAGTCAACATTTGAATGTTTTTTAAAGATATAAATTCCATATATTTCCAGTCATAGAACTTATCTGTAATATAGTATTTATATATAAAAATGATAATTATAAAATGACTTACACTTCTTCAGGTAGAATGGGGTTTTGCCTGCCTTGACTCGAGTCTGTTCTTTCTTTTTCCAGTCTTTTTCTATTGTTTTCTGTTGATCTTTTCTGCTGGCTGTGAGCTCTTGTTGTTTCTGTGAATTACAATACACAAATTATTCAGCCTTTAAATGTATCATAGAAAATATCATAGAAATACAAAGATGGTATTTAGGTAGATGAATCAGATTGGGATGAATTTCCTTGTCCTATCTTGTTTAATTCCAATTATAATTGACGTTGATGTGTTTTACAGTATGATAATCAAAATATGCAATGGCATGCTAAATGGGGGGGGGGGATCTTAGGTCTTACCATTCTGTTTAACAAGAACTGTAGTTCTTTTTTCTTGTCAGGATCCTTTTCTTTTCCAAGTGCTTTCTGAACTTTCTATAAAGAATTTAAAACATTAAAGATAAAATCACAAAATATAATGTCTATCAACTAGCTTATAGGAAAAAACAAAATAGCAAACTGAACAATCAAAATTAAAATAAATTGCAATGAGAGCTGTCTCCATTAACTTCAGTCATACGCATTTAATTGCTATCAGAATGAATTACCTCTCTTTCTCTGTGTTTAATATCATCGAGAAATCCATAACTTCTACTGAAGAGTTCTTCATTAAACTGGCCAGAGAGATCGTCAAATCTTGGGTCTCTTGTAACCTATATACAATACATGAAATTTCTGAAGATTGAATACCTAATGCAGATACATACAAGTACACATATACATGTACATGTGTTTTTTTTTTAAATGGTAATACAGTCAAGCATCATGATCTTGAACTCTATGGGTCTGATAAAATTTTGACAAGTCTGAGGAAGTGAGGATTCAAGATACTGAGGTTTAAATACATAAAGAACAAGAGGCCCATGGGTCACAATGCTCCCCTGAGTCACTATGGCCCTGCTGTTCTTCATCACCAGATTTTTTTTAATTTCCATCTTTATGTTCATAAAAATTTTGTCTCCATATTGTAAACCAAAGAGGCTAAGATTTATTCAAAGTTGAATCTACACAACATTGGGATGCATCAATATGACTTACATGGCCCTGCTGTTCTGGAGATTTTTCCCTATAAATAGGCATTATGTAGAACTTGGATATCTTATTTTAGCCCAACTCTAACAACAGGGTTCATAATTAAAAAAAAAAAAAGTATCCACACAACTTAGGAATGTTTTGCTTATGAAATAATTTACTGTAATCTTGCTGCTTTTGAAAAGATTTCTTCTTAGGCCAAAATAAAAAATAGGTTTGTTTCCCCTAACGCGACCGACCCACTTAAATTGTGCCGACTGAGAAGTTTTTTTAACAAGATTATTCAAATATTTATTTTTATTGTTTATCAACTTTATAAAATACAATTTCATCAAAATTCGCTTTTAAACAGCGGCTTTTGTTTTACTCTCAGTTGGCGCCCACAACATGTGGCCACAGAGGATTATTTAGTGTTATAAAACAACGGCGAAGTATCAATCTTAATATACATCTTTAACTAGAATCCTACACTCTTGAAACATTTCGTGAATTAAATATACCATGACTAAGGAGTGTTAAGATGGCATTTACAAATGTGTCTTCTAAAATTAACGTACGTAGTAAGCATGACAAAGCCTGCCTCATGAGCAGATGACGGGCCCACTTTGTGTATGCATATCAATAAATTTCACTGCATTTCATTCGTTTCGATCTCAAAAAAAAACACTTCATGTATGATTCTATTTTTACTATATAGGACCATAGAAGTTGTAAATATATCTTAGTATAATTATTTCATCTTGATAAATATAGTTCGGATGTCCTTTCTTCATTCCTTTTATTTATGGGGTAAACTTCGTGACTAAAACATTAGATAAATGAAACTTTAATCATTTTAGATATGGTTTGGTTGAATTAAATATTGTTTATACAGGAATTCACTTTTCAAATAGTGTTGAAATCTTTAAATTTGGCTTATGGTACGGCTTCCTGAGACGTCCAGTGTATTTTTCTTTTCTTTAGTTGGGCCCTTGAAAATAGGTTGTTTCTTTGCTTTAAAATACCTTTAAAAATTGCTGAACATCTGCCTGGTAGAGGGCTCCTAATTTAGACTTTTTCTCGGCACTTATGGCCATTGATCATAAAGCATCAGTAAGGGATCTTTTTTGTGCCAACATCTACATGTACATGTATACTGTGACACTACATGGCCCTACGTTTTTTACGGTCTCATTCGACTGACCAGTCTCCACGTCCCACGTCGGGACCTGTTACTTAGAATAAGCTTCTGAATTACGTCGTGACTCCAACACGAAACACTAGAATTACTGCGCCACGCAAGGTCCTTGACATTTTATCTGTGTAGGCACTCGAAGATGATAGTAGGTTTGATAAAAATATACTCGGAGGGCTGATGGTTGAGTATTTGCGAATCTTGTCTTTTTGTAAAAAATCAATTTCAATAAATTTATGCTGGCCTGAGATATTTCAAGTTCAAATGAATATTAATATATGTGAATTAATTTACCATACATGTTGCTTTTAAATTTCATTTGTTTGATATTCGGTTTAAAAATCGGTTTCTTTTGTTCTTTCTTATTTATAGAGATATTATTCAATTTTCAGAATGTATTTTCAAAACTGCTGTCAGAAAAAAAAAATTATTTACCTACCTACCTACTCAACTTGAAATTTTAAGGTCGGGTTAGGGGAAACAAAGATATTTTTAATGATGGCCTTACATATTCCTTTGTAAAACTCTGATACCCTATTGTAGTCTCAATCTATTCCCAGAGGCCCTGATCTGAACAAACCTTAAACTATCTGAGGATACATCCTTATCAATATGGGTAATGATTGCTTTTTTGTCAATTAGAGGAAGATTTTTCCGATATACTCCCATGTTTAACTTTGATCTCCTATAGTGGCTCCATACTACCCCTGGGGGTCATGATTTGAATCTACACTACATGAGGATGCTTCCATATTAATATGACTACTGGTAATCATGGTTTTTAAAGATTTTTTCTATCTTTTCCTTTCTTAAACTTTGGTTGCCTAATGTGGCCCCACCCTACCCTCAGGGGCCATGATTTGAACAAACTTGAATCTACACTATTTGAGGATGCTTTTTTATTAATACCTTTAAAAGATTTCTTCCTATATATACAAAATGTAAAACTTTGATCTTCTAATGAGGCCCCATCCTACCCCAGGGGGTCACAATTTGAACAGACTTGAATTTCACTTTGATTATCTTCCTTTGAAGAGGGTGTGGTCCTTCATTTGAACAAACTTGAATCCCCTTTACCCAAGGATGTTTTGTGCTTAGTGGCAAGTTTGGTTTGAATTGACCCAGTGGTTTTGGAGAAGAAGCTGAAATTGTGAAAAGTTTATAACAACAATGACAACAACAGACATGAACAAATTGCGATCAGAAAAGTTCACTTGAATCTTTGGCTCAGGCAAGCTAAACAACTCACTTTGACATTTCCATGGTAATCAAGATATCAAAGCTTGAGATACCTATATCTATATGCTGAAATAACTTAATGCTGATGCATGAAAAATAATGGTAAAACAAGATTTATTAGAAAATAAAATTGCAAACTGAAACTGCTGTAACTTAAATCTAGACACTCATTTATATAAAGACACATATTCACATAACTCTTCAAAATTACTTTAAAAAAAGTGAGAAATTTTTTTTAAAAAAAATCTCTGCTAGTAGATATTTTTTCTTTCCTTGTTCAGTATGATACAAAGAGGGGGAGGGGTGTCTTCAAAAGTCTAGCTCACATTTTATCTTTACTACTCTATTTCTTATCCCTTTTACCTAAAGAAGAACTCAGAAAAAACTCAAAAAAAAAAAAACAAGATGTGTTTGTGAAACACTGATGCCCCTGTATGGCAGTTTATGGCGAAGGTTACAGTTTCTTAAATGCACGTCAAACTCCAGGTCAAGAAATCAAAAATGTTGGTACCCAAAGAATGGTCTTATCTTGAGGAATATACCTGTGAAATATGAAAGCCCTAGTACAAACCGTTGAAAAGAAATGACGAAGGTTAAAGTTTTTCCAAAGTAAGTGAAACGGCAAGATCAAGGTCAAATGGTGCCCAAGGGAAGTTCTTTTCACAAGTGATACACATGATTGTGAAAGCTCTAGAACCAAACGTTCAAATGTTATGGCCAATGTTAAAAATTTTTAAAAGTAGGTCAAATTCCAAGGTCAAGGTAAATGCCAAAATTGTTGGTATCCAAAGGAAGGTCTTGTCACAAGGAATATACATGTGAAGTATGAAAGCCCTAACACAACTGTTCAAAAGTTATGGCCAAGATTAAAGTTTTTCAAAAGTAGGTCAAACTTCAAGATCAAGGTTAAAGGGTCAGAGTTGTTGGTACCTAAAGGAAGGAATGCATATGTGAAGTATGAAAACCCTAGCACTAACTGTTCAAAAGTTATGGTCAAGGTTAAAATTTTTCAAAATTGAAGTAGGTCAAACTCAAAGGTCAAGGTCAAAAGGTCAAAGTTGTTGGTATGCAAAGAAAGGTCCTGTGACAAGGAGTATACATGCGAACAATGAAAGACCTAGCTCAAACTGTTCAAAAGTTATGGCCAAGGTTAAATTTTTTCAACAATAGGTCAAACTCCAAGGTCAAGGTCAAAGGGTCAAAGAAGTTGGTATCCAAAGAAAAGCCTTCTCACAAGAAATACACTTGTGAAGTTTGAAAGCCCAAGCTCCAAGTGTTCAAAAGTTATGGCCAAGGGTAAAGTCTCATAAAATTTTGCAAAAGTGGGTCAAACTCCAAGGTCAAGGTCAAATATGATGGTTCCCAAAAGAGAGGTCTTGTCACAAGGAATACACATGTGAAATATGAAAGCCATATCTTCAACCAATCAAAAGTTATGGGCAAGGTTAAAGTTTTTGCAGAGAAACAGACAGACAGACAGATAGAGAGACAGACAGCGGATGGACAGGGCAAAAACTATATGCCCCCGAATCTTCGATTACGGGGGCATAAAAAAATCAAATTTAGCATATATATAGATAGAGGGATGCATTGCTTTTAAACTCAACACTACAACATATCCCTGAACCTTGCAAGAAAGATAACTCAAACCATTTGTAAAGAAGAAAGAAAACATCTGAATTGTAAATTGTATGCTAAAATGAAACACATAGGATTTGAGCTTATATAACACTTGTCTAATGGGACAGTATTTTGTCATGACAAGACACTTATTTCTTAGACATAATACATACATGTACAATGTACATTATAACTCTTGGGCCCGGGTGGGAAAAGGGAGGGGGGGGGTGGTCAAAGCTGTTTTGAATTTCCTTTTTTACAGACAGTTCACAACATTTACAAATCTGATAACATTTTGTACAAGCTATATATGTGCATGTAAACAGAAAGAGAGACAATCTGTCTAAAATGAGAATCTTACCTTTTTCTTTACAGGAACTGTGGTCTTAAACCGTGGAACAGGTCTCTTTGATGTGATTTCCATTGGTCTTAAATTAATAGGAATTTTAATAATTCAGTATTATACAACTTGACTATTGTCAAATGGAAACATTCATATCATCTAATAAAGTTTTTTTTTCTTCACAAAATGTTACTTTTATCATATACTTGGTAAAAATGTTTCACAAAATCAATATTTTTTTGGTTTCAAGACCATTATTCTATAATTTAACTTTCAATACAACAAAATTTGACTTTGCAAACAATGAACAGCCAAAATTCAATTTAAAACATTTCTTTAACAAAACTGGTTTATTTTTCTCAGGGAATAAACTGTACTTTACAATAGCCAAGTGTTTAATATTAAGTTTTCATGTTCTTTATGAATGAATTCTTACTTTATAAAGTAACTATCTTTTTTTCCCTCCATATTATTTTTTACATAGAAATAACAAATTAACATGAAAGATCCTTGGGTGAGTCCAAAAATAAATCTTAAGTTTCTCAGGCCAAAAATTTCAAAATTAAATGTGAAAGGCAGTTTTTTTAATGCAAAAGTTATGACTCCTTTTTCAAACAAATGATGATAACATGTGAATCTCTTGTATTAATTGATACTCAAGAAACTTATTAAAAACTTTTTATGAGCTTCTTGAGAACAAAGTGTAATAACAAGCAATTTATTGCATATCTAATAGAAATATGTTTTTTTCTAAATATATGGATGAAAAGGGGATTAACTTTTATTATCTTTTTTGGTGAATAAAACTGTTCAGTTCAGCTGTGTTTGACCCAATGTAGTGGTGCCTGAAAAACTATAGATGTTTTCTTTTTGCTTTACATACCTATTTTTGTTTGCTCTTTTAAACACCTTCTTTTCAGTTGTTTCTCCACCCCTGTCTCCATGTAAAACTCGATTAAATCTGTGTAGAAGATACATTTAAAAGTTGTGATATACACGAAATAATTACTAAGTATCAAAATCTGTACACATATGCAAGATTTTCATTTGCCTTATTTACTTGGTCAACATTTATGATAATAGACACAAGAGAACTGAAGTGATTTCCAAACCTCAGTTACAACCGTGAGTTATAATCTGTGTTCAAAATCATAAAAAATAAACTCACACTTTGAGTCCTAATTTTTCCTTTAATTTCTTCAATTCTTCAAAGGACAAGCTTGACAGCTCTGGAACATGAATAAAGTTACAGAGGGCTTAGATATGTGTTATCATGCAGTGGTTTTTTTTTTTTTTTTTTTTTTTTTATGTGTAGATCTTTATTACTACATTTCAAAAATACATCAGAAAATCAGAAGAGATATAATACTACTGCTTACAAACCATAAGAATATGGTTCCCCAAGAAATGTAATATCTGCACTTCATGAATTTAAATGCAGCTGTTTAAAATTATTACTAGTTTAACATTAAATTAAAAGAGCTCACCTTTCTTGATTGCAGCCTGTTAAAATATCAAATATATGAAATTTTAAAATAAGATTTATTTTATGCAATAGTGTATGTAAAGATATCACAATAAGGCTTATGAAAAAAAAAATACATGTTTGTTTTCGATTACCAAACTGAACCTAATTTATGCACTGACCCTTTTTTTGTTGTAAAGTCCGAAAATTGCATATGTTTACATATTCCATTTTTAAGTTCATAAGCAGACTTGTTAAAAAGAATCGGTCTTGCTAGCAAGGGCGGTAAAAATTTGTCTGGACTGATAACTTTCAAGAAAAAGGCAGTCCAAATGACCATTTGAAAAAATTGGCTGTGAGGCAAATTTTAAAAATATTGGGATCTGGGTGCACAGGTGAAGGTCACAAAAACAGAAAAGATGGCCACGAGGTGATGATGGTTAATTTAGTTTGTTTATACAGCAAAGACATAAAACATGTGTTTTATGTCTCTGATTAAAGACTCTCTATCCTAAGAAAAGAAACTTGTGAGAATGAATGCTAAATAAAATTAATAATAAATGGGCATTTTGGAAATTCTCAGACTAAAATGCTATGTATTCTAGAGAATTTGTTATCCAATGTTGAAATTTGAACATTACTCACAAACTCATCTGCCTCTTCTTCCTCACTGTCTGTCCCGTTTGTTCCACTTTGTATATTATCCTCTGACAGTGATTCTTCAGTTTTCTCCAAGAATTCCTCCCCCAACTCTGCAGATTTTTGTAATTTTGTTTTCTTTACCTTTTCGTGATCTTTACTTCTTAATTTCCTCTTTTTGCATTGTTTTTTATTATGTACTCTTTTCTCGTGAAATTCCGGCAAAAGATTACCCTTTTCCATTTCAAAACGTGACAGAAGTGATAGCCAAAAAAGCGTGTGTTTGTTTTCCCTTGAAAAGTCAAAACAGGATATTGATGTGGGAAACTAATTTTAGTTAATAAGGAATCCGGAAAACTCTGCGCCATATAATTCTCAATATCACTTTTTATCTTTTATCTTTACGGTTAAGACGACGATTATGTTCAAAGTAATATAGTGATAAAATGATATTTCTTTGTTTAGAGATTTAAAAGAACCCATAAACGTCCGGAAAATGAAAAAAAGACATTTAACCTTTTAACTCCCTTGTTTTTTCACTCTCCTATTTTAAAAAGTAAAAAGAGTGTTAACTTCCGGCCATGTTCCAGAAGCATCTCGTTGCTTGTTTATTCACGTTGTTAAGCTAAAAATTATTTGAAGAAAAATGGACAAACCACAGATAATTGCCCATATAGAAAAGTCTTTGGATTATACACTGTTTGATACCAAATGGATACCCTGTAGTGCAAAGTTTGTTGTGTTGGGTAATTATGCTAGGGGAACCGGTGCTTTACAAATTTATGAGTTGTCACATGGACAACTAAATTGCGTAAAAGAGGTAAAAAAAAAGCTTTTTAGTATATTGTTTTCAGATTAATTTCCTCATCAACCATTTTCTTTTTCCTTCAAATAATAATTTTGTGAACATAATTTCAATATCCTTTTTTAACTGTAAGATAATAGAATGGACTGGCATTGTAATAAAGTAAACTATGCTTTGCAAAAATAATAAAACAAATTTATCTCTGTAAATCCTTTTTTTTTTTTTTTTATAGATTTTTGATGTTTTTTGATGAACGTCTAGTTCTGCACATCTATACATATATACAGACTTTGGTTATAGACTCTGGAACATAACCAGGTCCAAATCACTTTGTAAAATTTATTTTGTTATTGAAAAGGCTTTCCTTTGAAGTTATTTCAACAAACACAGGTGTTTTCATTTTAGAATACAGATGGATGAAAAAAAAAAGAAATTCTTATTCAGTTAAAAATACCTATGATACTCATAAACAACTACATGTTTTGTGAGTGTTGTGGCCCATGGGCCTCTTGTTAAGTTATAGAGAGCACACTAAATGAACAACATGTACTATTTATATCCCCAATCTGTCCATTGTCGACTAAAAAAGACTGTACTAAAACTTTAAAGATTATTTTTTCAAAGATAGAGAAATCAAAGGCACTGAAATGTGGGACATTTGGTGCATCTAGTATGCAGCAAAGATATCTTGCCACTGGAGATTTTGAGGGCAAAATGCAAATATGGTAAAACATTTTTACTTTGATTTGAAATCAAACTTTTTATAGCAGATTGTTAGCCTTTTACTGTATAACATTATATATGATTTAAAGGAACCTGGAGACACCAGAGCTACCAGTGTATTCAGTGAAAGGCCACAAAGAAATCATAAACTGTATTGATGGAGTTGGGGGCCTTGGAATTGGAGAAGGTGCTCCAGAAATCGTCACAGGAAGTAGAGATGGTAAAATCATCTTCAAAAAACAGTTTGGACTTTGTATCTGTTATCAAAAGTGAAATCAGATCTGAATATTTTTTTAATGAAAGGAAAATAGGAAAGTCAGTGTGACATTAACTCTGTGTTTAATTTTTTAGGGGCAGTGAAGGTATGGGACCCTCGTCAAAAGAATGACCCTGTTGCCACAATGGAGCCAAGTGAAGGAGAAACCAAGCGGGACTGTTGGGCTGTAGCATTTGGTTAGTCATATTGGAAAAGTTGAAGAGAAAGCTCATTTATGTATTTTATTCACGTAATACATTCATTTTACTGCTGTATGTCTGACAAGAATTTAACTATCTTCTTCTCAGATATATTTTTAGCTCACCTGAGCTGAAAGCTCAAGTGAGCTTTTCTGATCACATTTTGTCCATTGTCCATCTGTAAACTTTTCACATTTCATCTTCTCAAGAACCAGTGGGCCAAAGTCAACCAAACTTGCCACAAAGCATCCCTTGGTGAAGGGGATTCAAGTTTGAAGGGTCACACCCTCTTTCAAGAGGAGATAATTGAGAATTAGTAAAAATTTACTGACATCCTGAAAACTCTTAAGAACCACTGGGCCATCAAAGTTGAAACTTATGTGAAAGCTTCATTACATAATGTAGTTTCAATTTGTTCAAATCATGACCACCAGGGGTAGGGTTGGGCCACAATGGGCCATCAAAGTTTTACATAGGAATATATAGGGAAAAACTTTCAAAATCTTCTCAAGAACTGCAAAGTCATGCTCAGTCATATTTATATGGGAGCATCCTCAAGTAGTGTAAATTCAAATCTGTTCAAATTACCACCCCCGGGGGTAGGGAGATAAGGTGGAGCCACAATGGGTATATGAATATACAGGAAAAATAAAAATCTTTCTTCTCAAAAATAGCAGAGTAATGTTTAATCATATTTATATGGAATCATTCTCAGGTATTGTAGATTTAAATTTGTTCTAATCAGGACCCCCAGGGGGTAGTGTGGGGCAACAATGGGTTATCATCAAAGTTTTAAATAGGAATACATAGGAAAAAACTTTTTCTGAAGAACAGCAAAAACATGATTAGTCATTTTTTATATGGAAGCATCCTCAGGTAGTATAGATTCAAATTTGTTCAAATTTGACACCCCCTACCCTAGGGAAGGAGGAGGCCACAATATTTGATCAATGTTTTACATAGGAATATACATGTACCTAAGGAAAAAGAATAGCAGGACCATAATGACTCAGGTGAGCATTGTGGCTCATAGGCCTTCTGTTCATCTTTGTAGGTCATGCCTTCAACAAACACGATAGATGTGTAGCTGCTGGTTATGACAATGGCGATATTAAATTGTTTGATCTGAGAAGTATGTCTCTACGATGGGAAACCAACATTAAGAATGGAGTAAGTCATTTTATATTTATAGAGAAAATTGTGAGATCTTTACAAAGATTATTTTTACTATTCATTGAAAATTAGTGTAGTGACATAAATTAATTTTATTTTCCTTGTGTAGGTGTGTGGATTGGAATTTGACAGAAAAGACATCAGTATGAATAAACTAGTTGCTACATCACTAGAAGCAAAATTCCATTGTTTTGACATGAGAACTCAACATCCCACAAAAGGATTTGCTTCAGTTTCTGAAAAGGTATGGCCATAGTAATGTCGAATAAATTGAGGCATCAGTTGTTGTTGTTGTTGTTGTTGTTTTTTTGTTTGTTTTTTTTTTTTTAAGATTTGTTGCTGTATACCGGTATATTTGTTCAACTCAACTAAAGCTATTTTCAGTTTTTAAATGATAAAATTTTTCATTTTTGTATCACAGGCCCACAAAGCAACTACAGTTTGGGGAGCCCGCCATTTACCCCAGAATAGGGATGTTTTCATGACAATGGGAGGAAATGGTTCACTGTGCCTCTGGAAATAGTAAGTTGTCACTTAAAAAGTACACTGACTTGTGTGTGTACAATTTATGATCTTTTCATTATCACTGACCAGTCTTTGTGCAAAGTGCAAAGAGAGGGAATTCTGTTTTCTATTGAAAATGTTGAATTTACCAGTAATTTTTGTTGAATTTACCATTAATCTTTCATTTTAGTAACTATCCCTCACAGAGAGTTAAACAGGATGAGAATAAACAGGAAATGGGTGTAGCTGGTACCCTCAGTCTGTTACAGAATGTCACATTGTCCACTCAGCCCATAAGCTCCTTTGATTGGAGCCCAGACAAGGAGGGGCTGTGTGTGTGTACAGCTTTTGACCAGACTGTTAGAGTTCTCATTGTGACAAAATTAAACAGGATCTGATCTGTGAATTTAGAAGAAATTTTCACTTATCATCAACCCAGATGTGTTCTGCTGTGGTGCAACTTGAGAATGTCATGAAAAGAGAAAACATCTCATCCAATTACTAATGAAAAATTGAGCTGGTTTGTGACTTGTGAGCAAAAATTCCTTTGCAATTCCTTCAGCAATCTCTCTACATATATGGGAATAAGAAATGTCATCTTTTCATCATTGTTTATGTTCTGAAGTAACAAAACAATGTGTAACTTGGACATTTGATATTACATAATATATTTTTTACATCCAATTCAATGTATATCCATGTTAAAGATAAATCTAAGTGGAATTGGTTGGAGATATTTATTTATTATTAGATCTGCAATGAATAAATAAATCATCGATATAAAACTAGCACTTCTTTTAGATATTGTAAATTCACTTTTGAAAAAACACTGCATTCTAGTGTTATACACGCACTAGAATTTGTTTTATATTTTACATCTCAGATATGAGATTTTGTGTCATATTTCATCATAAAGTCAAAGTCTTTATAACTTATACGGCCATCTCCATCACGGTCAAGCTCTCTGTAAATAGGAATAAAAACTTTCATTGACAGACAAAATGATTATATTTTGTTGTAAATCATACTGGTTTGCATGTGAAATGAATAATGTTCGTTTTAAGATTAGGAAAAAATTATATGCAAACCTAGGCCTGTGAGACTTAGGGTGCTTAAGAACTTTTAAAATTAATATAACCATTAACTCAAACTTACATTGCCTCCAGTTGATATTGTAAAAGCTACTGTAAAACCACTTATTTGCCTCCAGTTGATATTGTAAAAGCTACTGTAAAACCACTTATTTTCATGGGGTCCAATTTTTGTGGTTTAAGAAAAAAAATATATTGGTTTGTGGGGATTTGATTTCATGACTGAAGAACATAGTTCTGTAGTTAAAAGTTTGAACATTTGGTGGAGAACATGAATTTGTGAGTCCCTTCATACTATGAAAACCATAGGGACTTGAGACAATCTTAGCAAAATCGGGTATATACCCGATTTTGCTAAGATTGTCTCAATTTCCTGTGATGAAAACAACAAAAATTAAACGCCCAAGAAAATAAGTGATTTCATAGCATTTTGACAATTTATATTCTCAAACAGTTTATCATATCCATTGATACGCAAGAAAATTGAAATGCAGACCTGTGGTTTGTATCAAAACGGAAATCAACTGTAGAATTTATTTATAGAAATGAGAATGTACCTAATATGCCTGGGCTATTATTTTATATAAGTATACCCAGTAATACCAAGATTTTTTTTTTCATGTGGCCCCCAAAAAGAGACAATTTAACAATTGAATATGTATTACAAAAGAAGTGGGGATATATACCTGAAACATGACTGTATTGTGTGGTTTGGAATGTGTGGTGCTACCTGGCTGAATGCTCTTTGTAAATCTTCTACTCCTAGAAATCCTCTACCTAAACAGAAGTTAAAATATGATTACTGTAAGCTGTTTTTAGGTATTCAACTTTTAAATAATGTTGCAATCATTTAAACTCCTGCTTGTAAAATGATCAGAATTCTGAAAAAAAAGACACAATAGACAATCACTTGACTAAAGGCTGCATTATCCTTTTAATTCCAACCATTGTTCAGCACATTTAGAGGGAGATAACTCTATGATGAAACTCACTAATTGTGGCTTGATTAATACTATCTTTAAAATATTTGGAGACCATCTAGTTTATCACATAGAATTATGTTTCAATTCTGTCATAATAAGATGAAAGTACAATAATATTATTCCTAGAATTTTCATATACTCTATTCTTACATTGTGTGTCAAAGGCCATAAAAGTGTGTCGGATGATTTCATCTTCGTCTGCTGACACTATTTTGTCTGACATTATAATCATGTAGTTTTCCAGTGAAAGCCCTGTGTAAAAAATGAGAATAATCATCAATTAACAAGTAATTAAAAGATTCCTACATTGTTTTTTCTTTAATGTCTAATTTCATTAGTATACATTTCAATATGAGTTGTTGTTATTACATTCATGTACTTACCAATAACATTACTGCATGTGCTTCCATAGTTGTTCATGACTTGATCAACTTCATACTTTAATAAAAACAGGTCCAGAGTTTAAAAAAATTATGTAACTCATCTCAATAAATGCTAATTCTAGGTGATTCAAGTCTAATACCAATGAATTTTCATTTTATTAGAAAATTAAAGAGCCATTATTTAATATCTGAATGAATTTCAATAATTTTCTTCTTTAAAAATTTTTTTTGTATAGTAAATTGTCATATTGTTAAAATAATAAGGATTATTGTGCTTTCTGTAAGTTTGTTTCTAAATAATGAATTGCAAACTATTTTTGCATAGTATACAAAGAACTGATGCAACGTAAGCCGTAAGCGTACTACTAGTATGCTGAAATATTGCACTCATGACTCCTTCTTTTTCTAGAGAAAATATGTCAGTGCCCATGCTAGGGATCGAACTCATGATCCTGAGAATGTCAGTCCAATGTGCCACAGAAACAAACCTTTGTATTTTAAGAATATAAACATAATGTTATATCTTAGTTTTGACACAAAACAAGAATTATATTTAATTAATTTCATATCATTTCAAAATATTGTTATCATTGACAAAGATCTTACAGAAAAATTCTCTGAATTTTTAAATACTCGAATTAACCAAATAACCAATGTTAAATGAACTAGTACTTCAGAGACATGAAAACACTTTTTGGTATAACACTCCACGGCTTGATTAAAGAATGTTCAGGAAAATTTTCATTTCTATTAACGTCTATTAAATTGTCACATACAAACAACGGTTAGCATAATAATTATAATAGTGTTACATGATTTTGATGTACTATGCCAAAATGGTAGTCAGGGTTTGACACTTAGTGCACCTGCCTCTGGCACATACAAGTGTGTCAAACCATTACTACTGTTTCGGCATACCTTATCAAAATTATAACAGTACGGTCATTATTATACATGTATAAATACATGCATCATTAGTGTAACTCATCACATTACAGTACCAGCTTTATGCATTTCTCAGCAGCATTAAATGCTCTCATAAAGTTTATTCGCACTAATCTTTCTTAGCCTTCCATTTACACTGAGGTCAAATTGCATTGGTGTAAATTTTACCTTGGAAGGTTTGTACCCAAACAGTTCAGCTACTGCCACCTTGACATCCTCTCTGGTCAGAAATCCTTTGTTTCCTTCATCAGCTTCATGGAAAACCTGTAGGGTAAATAACACTTAAAGCTACCGACAGGGTATTTTACAAAACCGATTATCATTTCCCTTGAAGGCAAATATTTACAATCAATCATGTTCTATGACATGTCATATGTATATCTTACAACTGAGAGTAGATGTTTTTCTTCCTTTGTTATTGTCCTCTTTATTTTACTATACCCGTACGAACCAAGGTGGAATCCCGTGGAAGCACTCATTTCCATACAAGACGTATAATTGGTTGTCGCGGCATTTTCAAAGACAAAATTATATGCAAGTCTTGTCTAGTCACATTGGCTTGTTTGGATCCCGTTATCGCGGAAGTAAACTGTGATTGGTCAATCTCGTCACGTGACAAATGTAATTAACAGCCATTCAGACTGGAATAAAATTCAACATGGCTGCGCAAATTATGTTTATATTTGATAGTTAGTATTTTAGGGCAAGTTTTTGGTTTTAATTAACCCATGATGCCTAGCTATACAAGCCGGTCTACCAGAAGTAGTACCAGAAAGTTACGAAAGCGATCAAATTTGAAACATACCGATTCAGGACGACACAATAGTGGTGAGTGGCTGGGTCATTGTGTGGAATGTGCACACTGTGCATAAGGGGTGAAGGATAAATGATAATAGCTGTTAAGTTATAGTTGTAGACAAATGATAGTGTATTATTGTACGATGAAATAAAGATTTTTTTGTTCGGACTATACGTTTGCATGGATGCAGACAGAGAATCGTGCATAGCGACAAAAGTGTTCGCAAAAACATTTGTCGGGAAAATATTGACCGGATATAGTCTGGCATAAAAAGTCATCGATTAGATAAAACTACTGACAAGAAGGAGGCAATAATGATTGCAAAAAATGTTATATTTGCCTTTACAATTGCTAGGAATGATTTCTAATGTAACTTACTGGTTGTAGAGAGCACAAGTTCAAGGAGTAGTGATGAAGAACAAGGGGAAAGCAGCTATAGCACAAGATATTATCTTAGAAAACGCCAAACAGATTATGGGTCATCACATGAAGAAAATCATTCCAAAAGAAGGAGGAAGTCGCCCTCCAAATCATCATCATGCAGAGGTGCTGAGAATGTGAACAATATATAACCTATTTATATGATCTTGCAATTTGATAATAACATTATACCAAGGAATATTGTCCTCATCTTTATTATATCATATGAAGGAAGGGGTACTTATAGAAATAGTTACATACATAAAATGAATTTCCTAGAAAAACCTATTGTGTACATACTGGTCATTGAAATGTTTGACTATCCACCTTTAATGACCCTTTTCCTGTGTATTTTTAATAATACTGATTCTTTAATTCTCTCAGGATGTCCAATTGGTGCCCAGTACTTGCAAGAGGAAATGCCAGATGAAGTTTTAATAAAGATTTTTAGCTATCTATATGAGTATGATTTATGCAGAGCAGCATGTGTATGTAAGAGGTTTAAGGCCATTGCTGATGATCCTGGGCTATGGTATGTCTTATTCTTTTGCTCCTTTTCTTTTCTGTGGTAGATATATTAAATAGTTTTTTTCCCACAAGTACCACCTTCAAAACCGATAAAGAATTGAAATGTCTGATGAAATTGACCATGTCATCGGTGTTGTGACTGGTGCGAGTCAGTTTGATAGAATATGGAACATATTGTATTAATAATTGTTTAATGGTTAGGGCTAGATCATAAATGTGAACTACCTAGTGACACTGCCCCACTCCCTTATCATTATTTAAGAACCTGGGGATGCTTTATAGGGAGAATGCAGATTTTTAATTGTATTGCATCCATGCTTTAGTATTGAAACCTTCTTGAAAATCTAAATATTTGGACTTGATGCTTTTTAGGAAGAGGATCTACCAAGATGTGTTTGAATATGATTACCCATTAATGAATCCAGAGCCCAGAGTTTTTCAGTTCATACAACCCGATGAAAATGAGTATGAAAATCAATGGAAGGAGAGCTTCAAACAACTGGTATGTTGTCAAAATCCAACTTGCTGTATTTTCCTTTGGCAGCAAAATGATCATAGTTACATTTGCAACAACAACAAAAAATTAAAAAGAAAAAATAAGCCATGTAAACTCATAGTTATTGTATCATGTTTAATTTACACTGACACAGCTTTTATGATTCTCAGCAAATTGTGTTTCTTATTTTTACGTAAGTTCATTTTTTTTTCACTTACCCAATAGCACAAAGGAATCCATGTTAGGCCTGGATTTGAAGATACTTACAATTCTAAGTATAGAAGACTTAGAGGAAGGGACATAATTGTAAGTGTGTAGTCAATCTAGATAATACCCTGATTTAGCTGTAAATTATAACTCAAGAAGTCATACATCACAACATAAATGATAAACAGGAATGCATTTAGTTATTTTTCCTTAGCAGAACAGAGAGGAAGAGAAAAAAACATTCAAAATGATTTGAAAATTACTTCATGTAGCAAGTAATATAAAGCTATGTTGAAAATTCGACAGACTTTTTAAGTTTTATGTCATATGTTTGAAAATTAACTCTTTCATTTTCTGTTTGCAGTATTTTGACTCCATTGAGAGAGCCTACAGTTTTGTGGATTCAGAGGAAATGGACAATGCAATTATATTTATTCACTCTGGAATGTACTTAACAGAGTATTTGTTTGTGGACACTAATGTGACCATGATTGGTGCTGCCCCTGGTAATGTGATAGACAATGTGATTGTAGAACGGGGGACAGAGTCCACCATTACATTCGTGGAGGGAGCCAAGGAGGCATATCTAGGATATGTTACACTTAAGGTAAACTTACTTAGAATTAGATATTTAAGGATATCTGCTCCTCAGCCAGGAACAACAACTCATAAAATTACAATTTGATTGAAAAGGTCTCAAAATGAAGTTTGAAATGGAAATCTTTTTGTGCAACAATTTTCATTTCATTCAACTTCAATATGATTCAAGGCTCTTTGAAGTCTTAGAAATGGTCCAGTAAAAAGTTGACATTTTAAAGTACAAAAATAAATATGTTTTTAGGGAAATCAAATTTCCATTTTTAGCTCTTCTGAGCCAAAGGCTCAAAGAGCTAATGCTATGGCCATTTGTGCGGTGTGCATAAACTTTTTAGAATATGGGCCATAACTCAAGAACCCCTTGGCCAATTATTGTCAAATTTGTCACAGGGTATCTTTGGCCCAAGGGCTCCCATTTATACTAAAACTAGGGTTGTGACCATTAAACAAGGGGAGATAATTAGGAAAATAGAAACAAAAGTACTGGTTGCTAAAAAATCTTCTTCTCAAGAACCACTGGGCAGATTATCACCAAACTTACACAAAAGGATGAGGATATGTTGTAGATTAAAATTGTTCAAGGGATCACCCTGGGGCAAAGGGTGTGGTCTCAAGGTCACCAAAAATTACATTTTATTAAAATGTTGATATTTTGCTTACTATAAGGACTAGGATCATCAAATCTTGTCAGCTGATGCATCTAAGGATCTCATATCATGTTGACTCAAAAGTAGGTCATGGTGACCTATTTTTTAAATTTTGCCGCCATTCTTTTTCAAAATGATTCAGAGGCATATTTTGAACAATTTAAGGCCTATGATCATCAAACTTTGTCAGTTGATGCATCTTGGGTCCTCGGAGTACGTCAACTAAAGAGTAGGTCACCTTGAACTACTTTTTGAATTTTATGGCTAATCTTTTTCAAAACAACTAAGGTCATTAATTCAAATACTAAGAGTTTTAGAATCATTAAATCTTGTAAGATGATGCATCTTGGGGCCATAAAACATATTTATTAAAAAGTAGGTCACAGTGACCTACTTTTTGAACTTTGCAGGCATTCATTTTCAAAGCGTTTTAGAGGCATATCTTGAACATTTTAAGGCCTATGATTATAAAACTTTGTAAGTTGATGCATCTTGGGTCCTCAAAAAACGTCAACTGAAAAGTAGGTCACCATGACCTACTTTTGAAATTTTATGGCTATATTTAAATATTTAGGATACTATTTGGCTTAGAATCATCAAAATTTGTCAGTTGATGTATCTTAGGTCTTAGAGTAGGTTGACTGAAAAGTAGGTCACTGTGACCTACTTTTCAATTTATATGACTCTGATTAAATATTTCGGGTACTAATTGGCTTAGAATCATCAAACTTTGTCAATTGAGCATCTTGGGTCTTCGGAGTAAGCCGACTAAAAAGTAGGTCACCGCGACCTACTTTTGAAAATTTATGGCTTTAATTAAATATTTCAGGTACTAATTGGCTTAAAATCATCAAACTTTGTCAGTTGATGCATCTTGGGTCCTTGGAGTATGACAACTGGAAAGTAGGTCACCTTGACCTACTTTTGAAATTTATGGCTGTATTTAATTTTTTTTCAGGTACTATTTTGCTTAGAGTCATCAAATTTTGTCAGTTTATGTATCTTGGGTCCTCGGAGTAGGTCGACTGAAAAGTAGGTCACCGTGACCTACTTTTCAATTTATATGACTATAATTAAATATTTTGGGCACTAATGAGCTTAGAATCATCAAACTCTATCAGTTGAAGCATCTTGGGTCCTCGGAGTACAACAACTGAATAGTAGGTCACTGTGACCTACTTTTGAAAATTTATGGTTTTAATTAAATATTTCAGGTACTAATTGGCTTAGAATCATCAAACTTTGTCAATTGATGCATCTTGGGTCCTTGGAGTATGACAACTGAAAAGTAGGTCATCATGACCTACTTTTGAAATTTATGGCTGTATTTAATATTTTTTGGGGACTATTTGACTTGAATCATCAGACTTTGTCAGTTGATGCATCTTGGGTCCTTGGAGTACGTCTACTGAAAAGTAGGTCACCGTAACCTACTTTTCAATTTATATGACTATAATGAAATATTTCGGGTACTAATTAGCTTAGAATCATCAAACTTTGTCAGTTGATGCATCTTGGGTCCTCGAAGTAAGTTGACTGAAATGTAGGTCACTGTGACCTACTTTTGAAATTTTTTGGCTTTATTTAAATATATCAGGTACTTATTGGCTGAGAATCATCAAACTTTGTCAGTCGATGCATCGTGGGTCCTCAAAGTATGTCATCTGAAAAGTAGGTCACTGTGACCTACTTTTGAAATTTTATGGCTATAATTTTAAAAATATTTTAGGTATTAATTGGCTTAGAATCATCAAACTTAGTTAATGCATTTTGGGTCCTCAGAGAAGTGATAAGAAGGTCACCATGACCTACTCTCAGGTACTAATTGGCTTAGAATCATCTTGGGTTCTTAGAGTGTTTCATCTAAAATGTAGGTCATGATGACCTACCTTTGGAATTTCAAGACTTTATCTAAATACATGTATACAGGATACTTAGAGGCTGCAAATAGAAGTGATAGGTTGTACAGTTTATCAGAAGAGGGATTCAAGGCCCTTGGGCCTCTTGTATATTATCTAGCCTTAGATAACAATGCTTTTTAGTTTGATATGAAATTGGAAGTGATCTGTGATGCCTTGTATTGATAGCACTATATATGATATAACAATTGAAGTTAAATAAGAACTAAAATGCCATATGTTAAGTGTTAAAAACATTCAATTTTCTCCAAATGCCTGGATAACTAAAGGTTTTTGTCCTAAAATATACTTGTTGATCAATTTTCAATTAGAAAATGAACAACTGGTGCTTTTATTTTCATTTCCTGAAAATGTATAGAGATTTGATAACTTTCCTTGTATAATATGATTAAATGTAAAATACCATGGGTAAATACCCATTACTTTGTGAATTTTCAATTGCTTAACTGCTGATTTTCAGAAACTGAGGATTGGACTACCTTAAGAATTTTATTAGAAATATGTTGTAGATTTCTGCCCTAAATTTGTTAACTGTAAAGTAAATTGGAAATTTTTTTTATAGAAACCATGCTTAACTTTGTGTGTTTATTAAACTTCAACGTGTATATGATAAAAAGGTTGATACCCTTTATCTGTAATGATTCACATGTACTTGTGGTTCTAAAGCATATTGTTATTGTTTTACTGGGTTTTTTTTTCAGTTCACGCCTGACTTAACAATGGCTATGACGCATCATAAGCATTATGCCTTGGAAGTGACAGAAAATTGTTCTCCTACAATAGATCACTGTAGAATCAAAAGTACCTCTGTTGGTAAGTCTGACATAACACATTTTTATGTTCTTCGAAGGGACCAAGATGGAGAAGTTAAAACATACTCAGAAATCAATGGAACAACTCCTCAACAAATGTCAAGAAATTCTGTTTAAAAATAAGAAGACATTTAGTAATTTTTAGTTAAATATTAGAATCGGAAGCATCAGAATGTACCATATATCAAAATTTTTAAATAATTATTTGCTCTGTGTAAGGCCAGAGTACTCTTAGAAGCTGCGGTTGAGACAATTGTGATTGATGAACCCAGTAAGCTCCTGTTAACTTTGCTTATGCAGTTAGAGCCTTTTAAGTTAGAAAATTTAAGTTGAATTTTATTGCAAATTTTTATGCCCGCCATGAATATGGCTGGGGCATATAATATTTGTCATGTCTGTCTTCCGTCCTTCTGTCTGTCCTTCTGTCATACTTTGCGTTTAGCTCTGTTCAAAGCTCAGTTTCAAAGAAACTATCCAAGACATTTTTATCAAACTTCATATGCTGATAGATATTGATGAGAGCTATGCAACTGCATCAACATTTTTTGACCTTGACCTTTCATTTGACCTTGACCTCACTTTTCTTAAATTAGTGTTTAGCTCAGTTTTAAAGATACCATTCAATACAGTGTTATCAAACTTCATATGTTAATACATACTGATGAGAGCTATTCAACTGCATCAACATTTTTTCCTTGACCATTCCTTTGACCTTGACCTCACTTTTCTTAGATTAGTGTCAAACTTCATATGCTGATACATACTTATGTAAGCTATTCAATATCATCAATATTTTTTGACCTTGACCTTTCCTTTGACCTTGACCTCACTTTTCTCAATTTGTGTTTAACTCAGTTTTAAAGAAAACATAATATTTTTATCAAACTTCATATGCTAATGCATACTGATGTAACCTTTTCAACTGCATCAACATTTTTTGACCTAGACCTTTCCTTTGACCTTAACTTCATTTATTTTGAATTAGTGTTTAGCTCAGTGTTAAATAAACCAATCAAAATATTTTTATCAAACTTAAATATGTTGATATGTATTTGTGAGAAGTATTCAACTGCATCAAAAAGATTTGACCTTGAACTTTCTTGTGACCTTCACCTCACTTTTCTTAGATTTGCATTTTGCTTAATTTTAAAGAAACCATTTAAGATATATTTATGCAAGTTTATGCCCTTATACATAATTTGGTGAGAATTTATCATCTCTATCCAACTTTTTAGATTTCAATTTCAATTTTAAAGAAACTATTCAAGATATTCTCATCAAATTTCATACACTTATACAAATTTTCATGTTGCATTACTAATATACCCTTGGCGGGGCATTCATGTCCTATGGACATATTTCTAGTTTTCATTATATCAGATAAGTTCCATTTCACTGAAAAAACTAGGGTGTATAAAAAAATAAATCACAAAAAATTACCATTTGTTTTTTACAATGAAGACATACATGTACATTTATATTGACATAATTAAATTCAAAGTGGTTTATTAGAGATTTGCATTCTATTCCCTCTTAAATTCATCTTTTTTTGGCCCTGGATCTAGAATAGGAAATTCATTTCATTTCAAAATGATCTTACCATTTGATATTGACTTTTCTGCTTGCAGTGGGATCTGCAGTTTGTGTATCAGGAGTAGGAGCAGACCCCATCATAAAACACTGCAAGATCAAAGACTGTGAAAATGTGGGACTCTTTGTGACAGATTATGCACAGGTTTGTAGTACACAATTTTAGTGTGTTATATTGATGGCACATTGTATGCCAAACAAGTGGATATTGGGATGATTATTTGATGACAGGTTTTCAGTAAGGGTGGCAGGATGTGATTTATCACAGTTTCAATGATCAGAATTCATCACTCCAAACTCAGTGAGTATTGGAAATAATTCTAAAACAGCCTCTTCAAATGGATAAAGTCACTCTTCACATCAAAATTATTGAAAGCCTATGTGCAATTTAGGTATCATTATGTAATGTGTTAGTTCTCTTAAGTGTGAAAATTTAATGTTTTTAAGCTATAATATTAACCAATGGATGGTAATTAGATTTTGTAAATACTGAATGTTAAGCTGTATTTTGTGTCAGTGGTCCTCAACTGGGTAAAATTATATATTTAACCATAATAGAGTATATTTAATAAATTTATAGTATGGCAAACTCCATGTTTAATTTAACTGGAGAGTTTCCCTTTTGGAACATCAGGTCAGTAAGGTCACATGTGCAAGAAAAATTGTAGTTGTGTTTATTAAACTTGTACAAAAAGATTTGAAAGGATCCAAAATTGTCATGAGATTGTCATTGTTTCATATCAATGTTTAAATGGAGTTGTCTCTCTTGAAGCTCTCTTAAATAATGTTGTTTTCAAATGATAATCAGTGTCTAGCAAATATCTGAAAGTATTTGATGATATAAATAATCATAGAATTTCTAAGTCAAATTCAGAAAAATCTTATTAGCCTATATATATTTTTGGTAATGTACATATGATTGTAAACAAAAATGAGACATTTTTATCATACTTATTTTCCTATTTTTCTGTAGGGACAGTATGAAGATAATGAGATAAGTGGGAATGCCCTGGCTGGAATTTGGGTCAAGAATCACTCCAACCCCATAATGAGGCGGAATCATATTCACCATGGTAGAGATGTAGGAATCTTCACATTTGATAATGGCCTTGTAAGTTGCAAAGTTTTCAGAGACTTATTATAAATATCCTTATAAAAATTCAAAATTTTCATACAAATATACTCATAAAAGAATTTACATACATTGAAATTAATAATGGTGATCAAATTATAAAGATGTGAACTATTTTTAGGGTTACTTTGAGGAAAATGACATCCACAACAACAGAATAGCAGGATTTGAAGTGAAAGCTGGAGCAAACCCCACCGTTGTGAGGTGTGAAATTCACCATGGCCAGACAGGAGGGGTGTATGTCCATGAGAATGGGCGGGGCCAGTTTATTGAGAACAAAATCCACTCTAACAATTTTGCTGGAGTATGGATAACATCAAATAGTGATCCCACCATAAGGTAATACTTTCATAATCATGTTAGTGTTTCACATGTACATGTAAAACAAGATGTCATATGAATGTAATCATACATACAACTTACCTGTATATAAAACTTAATTACCAGTGTATATCTTGATTTCATTTTTCAGGAAGAATGAAATTTTCAATGGACATCAAGGAGGGGTGTACATCTTTGGTGAAGGGAGGGGCTTGATAGAGCATAATAATATATATGGTAATTCTTTAAGAAGCATTTATAAATCAATTGTTAAAGTTGTCTAAAAATTGATATGGCTGTGATTTTCAATATTGGTTAATATTGTTTTTGTTAAAGTAAAATTATGAGATGGAAGCTTTTTTTCTCCTTATATAAAATAGGTGCACCTAAACACTTACCCTTGATATTTAATCTGGTGAGCATTATTTTTTTTAGGGAATGCCTTAGCTGGAATCCAGATCCGTACCAATAGTAACCCTATAGTAAGACATAATAAGATTCACCATGGCCAACATGGAGGAATATATGTGGTGAGTAAAAAATAATCCCACATTTTATGAGTTATCTTTTTTTATACCAGGACTGACTTAGATTCAAAAGTTAAAGAGACTCACTTCTCCTTCACAGCAAATTAGGGAGAAGTCTAGAAAATACTCTATACTCTATCCATACTTCCATAGTTTATGCCATAGAAATTGATGATATTTTTACCACCTATTTACTGTATATCTGAAATATTGTAGTTAGATCAGGGAAACTGAGCCTATCATGATATCTTTCGATGTTTACTAATAACAAAATCATTTAATTAATAGCATGAAAAAGGCCAAGGTTTAATAGAAGAGAATGAAGTATACTCAAACACATTAGCTGGAGTATGGATCACAACAGGAAGTACACCAGTGCTACGCAAAAACCGCATTCACAGCGGAAAACAGGTTTGTATAGAAGTGAGGGCATTTAAAGCAAAATCAGCATATGATTTGAAAATAAAATACTACATACATAAGTTGTTGAAGGCTAAGTTTTAACATATTTATAAGTTCAGCATCCTGTGTTTTAGGTTGGGGTTTACTTTTATGACAATGGACATGGAGTTCTAGAGGATAATGATATTTTTAACCATTTGTACTCTGGAGTGCAGATTAGGTAAGTAGAGTAGTCCTGACTACTGTTTCTTTGTCAAAAAATTATTATACATACTACAAGTAGATCATTAAAATTAAAATATTTTTTTCCTTCTACCAGTGTGAAATTTCTGTTCATTTCCAGAATTTATCTCGAGTCATAATATGATATGATTATCCTGAGCTGGAATTTGTTTTGTATCAAACCATAATTTCTTAGTATGTGATTGTCAGTTTATAATGCTGTTTTCCTCCCAGAACGGGCAGTAATCCCTTGATAAGGAGGAACAAGATCTGGGGAGGCCAGAATGGAGGAATTCTGGTTTACAACAGTGGCCTTGGAATGATTGAACGTAATGAAATCTTTGACAACGCAATGGCTGGTGTCTGGATCAAGACAGACAGCAATCCCTTGCTGAGAGGCAATAAAATTCACGATGGCCGTGATGGTGGAGTTTGTATTTTTAGTGGGGGAAAGGGTAGGTCTCCAGAAAAATGTCCATTAGCCTTCAGCTTGATGGTTAAATTTAAGATTTTAATTTGCTGTTGCATTTAAATGAATACATTTTTGATCACATTTCTGTTGAAGGTGTGCACTGACTGTTAATGCTTGTGGACATCATTGTACACTTTATCTGGATAGTTAATGTTCTTTTTTGAATTTTTTTCATTTGAATCTTTAAATGATATTAATTTGCCACGATTGTATTGATAACAGGGATCTTAGAAGAGAATGATATATTCAGGAATGCCCAGGCAGGTGTACTTATTAGCACAAGTAGTCATCCCATGTTACGACGCAATAGAATTTTTGATGGAAACGCAGCAGGAGTAGAAATCACAAACAACGCTACAGCAACATTAGAGGGGAACAAGATCTTCAACAATAAGTTTGGTGGATTATGTTTAGCAAGTGGGGTTCATCCCAAACAAAAAGGTACATTTGAAGTTTTGAATGCCTGATATGATGTTTAGCATTCAAGAAATAAATGTTTGGTGCAGTTCACACAGCATTACAAAACATGCTTTTGATTAAATGTAATGTCTGTCTGATCTGGGATGGTAATGATTGCTTGGAGATATTATTTTCTTTGCTTACCTTAATTTCGGCTTAAATGACCACATTCTTTTACATCAAATGTAAAAATTGCAGAGTTTGTCACATTTTCTGGTCACATTTTATGCTTCAGGAGATACATGTACATCCTTGTATTTCAAGGATTTCTTACAGGGAACATAAGTCTAAATATTTGGGCATTTACCAAAAATATGAGATAATCTATAAAACATAAGGTTTTTGATAGAATAACTTGTGTTTTCAAAATTTATATTAAATGAAAAGTATTGTTAATGATTGATATGTACACTGGAATGTAGAAAGCTATTACTACTTCCCTGTGAAAAAGCAAAGATTAATTAACTTAAAGTATTATGAAAAAATCTCTGATGTCTTAAATTTTCTCCATATAACATAATAAAGTATCAAATTAAATACAGAATTATTTATAACCTGCATTTTGGAACTTGTGCTTGTAGAAAACATTATTACGGGCAATCATAACATGGTACAGAAGGCTGTGTCCACAGGCCAGTGTCTCTACAAAATCTCTAGTTACACCAGCTTTCCCATGCATGACTTCTACAGGTAAGTGTTATGCTAATGTGCAAATGAAATTGGAAATGTAAAGGGTTTACTTACCGAGATTTCATTCATAAAATTGCTGCCAAGCACAAGGTGTTTTTTTTTTCTTAGTAAATAGAAGTTATTTTTTCCAAACTTTCCCATTGAGTTAATGTGAATATATATGAATATGTCACATGTATGTATTAACCCCCCCCCCCCCCCCCATAGCTGTGGAACTTTGTGTAAAATCACTTAATGACTACAAAATTTGATGATTTGGGATTAATGTAACAAAACCTTGGGGGTCTGTTAGAGAAAACTAATAAAAAATTATTTTCTTGTATTCTAACATACATGTAAAAAGAAAATGTATATGAATTTATCTGCAGAATTATTAACTACTATATAAAAATATTTAAATAAACCAATACATTTCAGGTGTCAGACTTGCAACACAACAGAAAGAAATGCCATTTGTGTGAACTGTATCAAAAACTGCCATGCTGGACATGTTGTGGAATTCATTCGGCATGATAGATTCTTCTGTGACTGTGGAGCGGGGACTCTTAACAACTGTTGTCAGTTACAGGGAGAACCCACACAGGATACGGACACACTCTATGATTCTGCTGCTCCTATGGAAACGCACACCTTGCGGGTCAACTGAGTTGTGTCAAATCTGTGTCAGTGTTTGTATCCACCAAAATGAGGCCAAAGCTCACGTCAGTGAAAACTCTCACAATGTTGTTCCTAATGTGGTGTGTGCTATATGTACAATGTATGTCACACCTGAATATATATATATTTGTTATTTATTTATGAAGTGACTGTGACCAAAGAAGAAAATAGAATGATACATATGTTTAAAAAACTGTCTGCTCGTCTTAAGCATTTTTTTTTGAGCAGGGTTCATTTTTTTTTAAATATCTTTTTTGCTTGTCAAGTAAGATGGTTTTTCAGTCTGTTGGACTTGAAATTTGTGCATTTTTTTTTAGATAGCTTAAAAAGTAAGATATACTGGTTGTGAATCTCCACAGATTAATCTCTAATATCATACAAGATTTACAAAGTTTCTAACTGAATTTATTTACAATATTTTCACAGCAGGTGATATAAAGTTTCATTCCTGCATTTCACAGCAGGTGATAAAAAGGTTCATTCCTGCAGTTACTGTATACATTTCTTGTACCAAGTTATATGTCTTTAATTTGACAATTTTTTCCAATCAAGATATACATTTAATTTACACCAATTAATAACATGATCAAAGTTTCATTTTATTCAACAAGGATTTGGATAATTAGGGAAAACAATGATTGTACCAGTGTTAAGGGGAAAAAAATCATTCATATGATGGAGAAAGGTTGAGATGATCTGAGGCCAGTTTTGTCATATCTAGATTGTTTTAAAAAAGATTTTAAAAAAACCACAACTGAAATTTGTATGCTCAACAAATGTGTCTAAGGTGCTGCTGCTGTTTGCTTTTACTTCAATATGATTACAGAACGATTTAAGTCCCTTGAATCAAGACATAACAAGCTGATCTGACTGTGCTTCCATGTTTAATGCAGCATTCACCACCAACTGAACTTACTTTTTGCTCAGTAGTTCATAACACAAAACTCATGTAGATTATTTTTTATGAGTTCATTATGTAGGATATTTAAAAAAAAATTTATGTTTTATCTTGAAAAAAGAGAGAAGAATGCCACCTTATTCCTGGCCAGTTTCGTGTATAGTTGATAATGTCAATGTGGAGTATATACTGGAATATTTGGAAAAGGGGGAGTGTTAAGATCTCTGGATTTATTAATTTTTTTGTTGGAAAAAAGGCCTTTAAAATTTCATAACTTGAGTCAAGTTTAATGATTTACATAACTTTGAATTTTTCTGTTTTTGAAATAATGAAAGTATTGTAAATCTTCATGTTTGGATTTAAAATTGATGGAAGCTTGTGCAATAGCTTTACTTTATTGAGCTCTAGGTGAAAATTTATTTCTTTCCTCTTTCTTTTCCTTTTTTTTTTTTTTAAAAAAAAATGGAAATGTGTTGATCATCATAAAAAAAAACTATAACTAAAAGACATTGCATTACAACATCTGAAAAAGTTACTTTTATGAAAGTTTTAATTTTTAGTTGAAAATTTAAAATTAAGAAACATTTTACTTTGCAAGGGTATGGACCTGCACAGTACTTTGGAATATTTTCCTATGGTGATAACAGAAAGGTCACACTCCCTATAACTGAAGTCCAAGTAACCTTCAGTTCATTTTTATTTATGTATTTGTGAAGGCATTATTTCAAGCTGTGTTTGCAGCCTGTTTTTGCTTTGTTTGCTTAATTGTACATAAGTTACTGAATACCTCATACCATTTTATTTTTTACCTTGCTTGCCTTTTAGTAAGTGTTAACATTTAACACAATTATTAATCGACCGCCACATTTTTGACATACGTTTGTAAATGTTTCTGTATTATGCCTCAGTGCTTTTATAAAAACCATTTGTTTAGGTAGTGGGTCAAGATAAAAGGTAACTTTATTTTATAAATTATTGATTGTCAGTAAAAAAAAAAAAAATACTAAATTTTTTTATTGTGTTGGAATCAACATGAGAATTGAGAAATTGTGTCAAAAAAAGAGAATTATCCATTTAAAGAGGTGTTTTCTCTCTCTCTTGAATGAATGAAACCAATTTTGCTTGAAAGATGAAAGAGTAAGATTTATCTTCTCTAAGTTTAATTCTCTCATTTCTCTCCATTTCCCTGCCCCTCCCCTCAACATATGATCAGTGATAATAAAGGTAGAGTTCTACTTGTTAAATGTAAGTGATATGTTTCATGTTTATTGTTATATACACATATTTGTTTTGTGTGGAAGTCTGTCAGTTTCAAACACTTAAAAGTGCATCAGAGATACTATAGTAGTTGACACGTTCATTAACTTGTGCTGTGTGTACATATTTATGATATTGTTTTGTTATAGAGAGACCTTTACGAAGTTTCTTACAGAGTGTTCTGTAGCTTGTTGCATATCTATTTTAATTAGAAATTTTATATTATTCAGGATGCTGCTGCATCATATTTTTAATCCTTTTACACTTCTGTTCTTAAGTTTTGGAGTAATATGTTACTTAAACCCCCCTCCCCCACCACTATTACCACTGTCCCCTTCCCACAATGTTTTTAAAAAATCACTTTCACAATTTTGGTTTGTGGCAATATACTAATACAGATTTGCAACTTATCTATGTTCCAGCAAAGCATAAAAAATAAAAAAAAATGTTCTTAATAAATAAAAGCAATAGTATCATGTGATTTTGATTTTGCATGCACAGAATTCTTACTAAACAGTCTGCTGTTATATTGTGTTTTATTTATCCTATGTCTTTGTTTCATAAGACAAACATAGAGGCTCTGTGAGTGTTGTTTAAATGTTTATTGCAAAGTGTAGAGATGGAACACCACATTTATGACGTCATCCATGGCAAAAATTGTGATTGTTTTCTTTTTTATATAACATCCACTTATAGGTATAAAATGTCAAATAAAAAAGTCTAAAAGAACAAAAGTTCAACTTTTTTAATAGATGGAATGTGCATAAAAAAAGGAAAGACTCGATTTTCCTCTTGACTGGTACCATATTTAAAGGAGGTAGAACTTGAATGTATACAAAATTAAGTCTGTTGTGAAATGTTTTCTTCTCTCGGTATCAACACGTGAGGATCCAGTTCAAATTTGTGAATCGGTCAACATTTGCCTCAGTTAGGATGTGCCTTTGTAAACAATGTTTATCTCTTGATAAAAAGATAATGGTCTTTTTCAGTACGCCCAGAGACTGATAACTGATACAGAGATTTTGTACAGTGGTAGTACAGTGGAAGTTTGTGGAATATGTCAACATTATTTTAGTGTCGGTTTATTTGAAACTATGATATTGTGAATCATGTATGCTGTTTCAAGGAAAGCAGTGGTGCGTGTTTTGTTGTTCAGTATTTGTGCTACAGTGATATGGAATCTGCTGTCATTTTATTGGATAATGGAGGCGCGGTCGCCGAAGCAAATTCACGTTTACTTCGCTAAGGTTGATGGAGACATTATTTTGGTTGGACGTGAAAATATACCGCAGAAGATGACAAAGTCATCAACTCGTAAGGAAAATGTTACAGGACCTAGTAATCGTGTGGAAAATGCAACAAGACCTAAAATATGTGATAACTGTTTTCATACAGATTTTGAATACATTTTACAAAGTGATGTATGCAACAGAAACCACACAGAAGAAAACGTTAGTATTCTATTGCTGGTTTTCTCGAAGCATGAAAATGTGAATCAGCGAAAAGCTTTACGGAGGACATGGCTTTCAAAAGCAAAGGGAAATATTACCTACATATTTGTGTTTGGTAAGAGCGAGATGGCGGAACTAAATTATAACATCGCAGATGAACAAAGACTGTATAATGACATTCTTTTAATCAATTTTACCGAAAATTACAGAAATCTCACTCTAAAGACAATATCTGCATTTAAATGGGCAGTTTCTTATTGCAGCCATGTAAATTATGTAATGAAAGTAGATGACGACATGTGGGTGAATTTGGAAGCGTTGCAGGAATTCGTAACAACACCGATGGGCTTATCAACTAATAAACTGTTTGGAAGTTGCTCAAAAAATGCTCGACCTTTCAGAGAGTCGAGCCACAAATACTATGTGCCATACTCAATGTACCCTGAGTCCACATACCCACCGTATTGTTCGGGAACAGGGTATCTAACTCACATGAATCTCATTAGAGATATCGTAAAACTGTCACCTAACATTCCTTTTTTCCCCTTGGAGGATATCTACATTGCTCTTTGTTTGCAACAATTAGGTTTTAATGTTCATAACATGATGCCGTTTCATTCCTATAAGGTTTACCCACATCCTTGTCTTTATAGGTCTAGCATTGTAATCACCAGTCACGGAATAACTGCTAACGAACTGAAACTTATTTGGAAAGGCAACTGTAAGGCACAAATAAGAGCATGGCAGGAAATGGGCATGGGTGAAAAAGGTGGGGCGACAGTTCCCTTAAAGCAAATTGAAAAATGAGGTTAAATAATATTCTCAGAGAGAAACGGGAGTAACCTCATGATTAAGAACTTAACGTATGTGCTACTCGATCGGTAGACCAATCTGTATACGTACTCTGTTGAGCTACATGTACATATATTTAGCAAGCCATTTAAAAAAAAACTATGATCCTTTGTCATTCCTTTGATTCACTTGGGTCTTTTAAAAGTATATGGCTGAAATTTAAAAAAAATGACTGGACGCATATTTATCCATCTGTACCAAAAATACAACCAATGTGAGTAAAGCTATTAACTCTTTGACATCTTAACAGCTTAAGTCACAAAAGAAGTTATGCCCAAAAATGATGCAAAAAATGTCAGGAGTGCAACACCTTTTTGTGACTTTTTGAAAATTTGATAATTTTGAAGATCTATTAGAAAAATAATAATGTTTTGTGATGGAAATGGACTTTCTTGATAGAATTCAATGTATTGAGCTTCAAATTTATAAAACTATAGTAAGTTTTGTTTGACCAAGTTATGGTCATGGCTGATGCTGAAAAAAAAAATGTTATACCATGTCAGGGGTGTAACAGAAAAAAAATAATGATGCAAAAACATTGATTTTAAAGGTCTGTATGACAATTAAGTGAAAAAAGATTTTTCAAGATGTAAAACAACTGATATCCCCTTTAAAAGTTAGAAATGATATATCGATCACAAGAAGCATTAATGAGAGTCAAGCAAGTGTGCATACCCTTTTATGTCAGGAGTGCAACATTTGATGTTTTGCTCCCCAACATGGAAAACACTTTTATCAGTATATAATTCTTTGTTTTCTATTTAGGAAAATAAAGACACAAAGAACATTTTTACAAAATAAAGCTATCAATTACAGGATCTGTCTGTGTTTCAGATCCATATTTCAACATAAAGAAGTTCGACACATTTTATTTAAAAAATCCAAGTTCAATGATGAAATGACTTCTATTCATACTAATAAGTATTTTTTGAGCAATAAAGATTTATTCGAATATTTTAATACTGAATTATAGACAGTTTCATGATTGAAAGGATGATTCTCTATAAGGCCATTTTCCGGCCTACGATAAAATCACTTAAAAATGTGATTTTATGTAACTTTAATCATTGTATTTCATGATTTTGATGTTTGTTTTTCAACATCGATCACCTAAGTCGCGTGATTTAAAGATCACAAACGGCCATCAAGTAAAGAAAAGTTGAGGGTAGGTCTATTTACCTCAAGTTTCTATGCATGTTTCTAGATGTAAATGATCAAACATTGTTTATTTATGTCGGAAACATATCAGACTTAAGTAATAAGTGCAAAGATTGTTTAATTTAAGGCTAAATATATTTTTTTTTATGGCAAGAATTTTGATGCATTCACATTTTTCATATTTTGAATGTAAATCTTTACAAAATGCACCTCGTATGATGTTGAAAAATGTTTAATTAGCATTTAATTAAAAGTATTGTTTCATATATGTTTATATTGTAACTGTGTATTGTTTCTATAGACGTGGTACCTATTTTACGCATAAAATGCCCATGCAAGAAATGAGATTTCTAAGTTTCTATAGAACTATAAAAGTTGTGTATCAAATGTTTAAAGCATTGAATGAATTTTGTTTGTGATTAAATCAAAATTAAGTTGTAATTTATAAAATATAGTCTACATTTGCAAAAAAAATAAAGAATTCATTAATTTACAGGATGAAAATATTAATGCAAGTACATGTACATGTTTATAGTCAGTACATAAAACTAAGAACGGTTGTATTAAAAATATATATATCGACGTAAAATGAAATAACATCGTAAGAGTTGCTTTGATTCAATTTAATTACGCATAAGTAAAACAATATATTTAATTTAAAATGCTATCTAAACTATAATACACAAATGTATGTATAACAGTCGAGTCCCCCCCCCCCCCCACGGCACTCCATAAAATGGAGTAGATTTTCAACAGTTCCTTCCACAACGCATATCAGAAGTTTTAGTATATCCATGGACTAACAGAATTCTACAACATCCCAGGTACAGAATGGACCGTAAGAGATGACACTCCTTTCGCACTGTTGAAACCTGAGGATTAAATTCTCTTTCCGTGCTGCGTCAAGAACTAAGGTGTTTAACACGGGTAGTGACGTTCCTTTGCTAAGTCCTCAGCATTGAAAGTAAAAGTCATGGGTCTTTTGGATATTATCTTAAAAAAGGAGGTCCTGTCCCACGGTAGGTGTTGGTCAATACTGAAACCATGCATAAATCAAAATTGTGACACTTCACCTTAAGTGGATGATCTCTTTATCTGGGTGAAAAATTCTAAAATGACGTAAAGCAACATTCAATTATCAATCATGTGACATTTAGGAACCCCTTACCTCCTTGGCGTTTTATTTTCTAAGACAGAATTACTGTTCTCATAACTTATATTGATGCTACCAAAGAAGTGTGATGAATAGATTGAGTCCTCTCAATACCCAGTTAACAAAATACATGGATCCTATGTCACTCATACGGAAAAGTGTCCTTCTAAAAGGTCGAGGCGAGAATTTCCATTATGAAACCATCCCATCAATAATTCTCTATCTATAAAAGTTACATGTGTACCCATAGAAAAATTAAGTTTATAACACAAATAGCAAATGCATCTTCCCGCAACAACAAAAATAGCTTTTATCATTTCTAGAACTAATAACAAATATGCAGTCCTCCTAAGGAAATACAAATACAAAGAACTAGCATAGATAAACTAAACTATCCTTATAAATAATAATAATTATAATAAGTAACTTATATTCATGCCTTATAGTCTATAAAAAAATTTCTTTATTTCTAGCAGATAGTTCAATGAGACTTGTCTTCACGTAATTTCATAACAACCAGTCATTTCAGTCCTTTGATTTTAGATTTTTTAAGTAAAAAGTTTACCTTTTTTGAGTAAACATGCATGGCTTATATTAATTCTTAGTAAATCAATAGAAACATGTACTCTAAGTGAAAGTTTATAATAAGAAATAATCTACATATTAAGTTGATATCCTTCATTGTGAGTAGTTAGCTTTTCCTGCAAATATCGTAAAAATGAAACGAAAAGTTTTTATTTACATGTCATAACCACCTTTAACCAAGTTGATAATTTGGTAGTCACTTTTTATGTTCATAAGAAGTTTACGTGCAAATTTTGGTGTTGGTTAAAGGTGGTTATGACATGTGTAGGAGTTACCTAACACACCAACCCATTTGAGTTTTCCCATTACCCTAATGCTAATACGGACCGGTAGTACCTTACTTTGTGACCCTATATCATAACAAATACTTTTGTATCATTAACCAATCAACATTTATCATTAAATTGGAACATTAGCCTACTGACTCATGCAGTTTTTAAGGGAAAAAATACTATTTGAAAATTTGAAGTCATTGTGGGCCTCAAAACGGCCTTATAGAGAATGATCCTTTGTCTCTTTTTCAATTTGATGAATCCAGATTTGTTTTTATCTTTTCTTGATGTCCTTAGAGCCATTTCAGCGTTTATTTAAGGAATCACTGTCTAGTTAGTGGAGTATGCCAGGGCATCAACGATAGTTGGAAACGTGGGATAATCTGCATAACGGGCGAAGCATAAATTATCCCACGTTTCCAACTATCGTTGACGTCCCTGGCATACTCTACTAACTAGACAGTGATTCCTTATATTTCCATTTCATTGTGAAATAAAATTGTAAATTTAGATTTTAAAAATGTAGACTAATAGATTTAAATTACACGAGGCCTCACATGTCAATTTCAAAAGTCCTCGCCCACTGACGTCAAACACAAAGACAGACGCACGAGAATTACGCATATTAGGCCTCCTTAGCTCCTGACCTTTCGCTTGGCGAAATTTGCATTCCGGTAGAATGATCAAGAAATCAACTCAACTAACTTTCAAAGAGTTATCACAGAGAAAACAAATAGAAATGGAAATATTCCTAATTATAGTCTTGAAAGCACATTTTCAGACCAACAGACGTTATAGATAATGTTATTTTTGTATTAAAATCACAAAAACTAGGAAACGTGTTTGTCGTACCTACGACTGCATGAAATTCAAAAGCTGCGCAAAGTCACGCGCATTCGAATTAGACTCGGCCTCGTTAATTCTAAATTTTACTGCAGTGAGGAGTGCAAATTTGTTTGATAATAATCAGTGAAGTTCATCTATTTTTACTAAAAAATAAATTGAAGAAAATGCTTGATACTATTTTTATTTGAAATCAGGTCTGTCAACAAATTACAGTCATTTTACAGTCAATTCAGAGAAAAGTTTTCATTATTAAACATAAATTTTAAATATATATATAACGTAAGCAAATAATCATATTTTGAAGCCAAGAAAATAAGAAAAACTAGCCGTAAATGTTAAAAAATATCACAACGACAAAGCACTTTACCAACTATGAATGAGTTATTCTGTGTGATAATTTAAAATGATGTTAAAACAAAAACATACCAGATGTCAGGAGTGTAACAAAATGAAGTAAAACAGGATCTCTTCAAAATCTAGTATTTTTGTAAGAAAACTTGTGAATCGAATTCCTTTTCTGGCTTAAATTTAAAATATTGACTCAAGTGGACAAAAATGTAATGTTGGAGGGATTTATTTTATCAAATTTCTTTCAAATTAAAACTTTTCAAACCAGAATTGAGACAATGTAAAATTTCAATCAAAAAGCCAATTTTTTTTTCTCCACATTCTGAAGAGAGGAAGCTCAATCAAGGTTTAGATCTTGTAAACATTCAACGTAAACACAAGTCATCTTCATGATTATCAACATTTTTCTTTCTGCAGATTCTTACTTTAAATTTTGATTTAAAAAATATCTTGAAAAATGCAATCGGCTTCTTTACCTACCACCAGTTATGTATTTCTTTTCTAAAGTAATGTACGTTTATATACTGTAGTACATTGAATAGAAAGATAATTTCTTGAATTATATACTCTTTTAAATTGTCATATGATAAAAAAAATTAAATATATTGACGTTTTGATGTATGATAAATTGTATTTTGTTTAACTTACATAATTCAATATAATAAAGTTTGCAAAATGAACACTTCTTAATGAAAGATTCGTTTCTACAGATT